GGGACGGGGCGGGAGGGGACGGGACGGGATGGGATGGGATAGAATCCATGGGATGGGATGGAATGGGATGGGATCCATGGGATGGGATGGGATGGGATCCATGGGATGGGGGGGGTGGGGGCGGGATTCCTACTCCCCGCCCCCCGCCGCACCTGCCCCTTTAAGAGCCGGCTCCATGACGTCACGCCCACGGCTACTTTGTAGCGCGGGGTGGGCGGGGCCTGCGCGCGCCCGGCGGAGCCGCGGGGTCTCTTAAAGAGGCCGCGCAGCAGCATCAGGTAACGGGGGTCCCGGGCCGGGGGCTGCGAGGGCCGAGAGGCGAGGCTGTGTCCCGGCTGCTGGTCTCGGCCGGATGCGGCCGCCCAGCGTCCCCCCGAGGCTCTTAGTGCCTCCCCGCCCCCCCTCCGAGGCTATCCCGTGTCCCCCTCGTAGCCCTGAACTGTCCCCGTGTCCCCTCTGGACTGTCATCGTTCCTTCGAGCTGTCCCCATGTCCCCCCTGGGTTGTCCGTGTCTGAGCTGTCCCTATATCTTCCCGGCCCGTCCGCCTCCCGGTGACTCCGCACCCCGCCCGGAGCGGGGCTCCGTGCGGCCGAAGCGGGTTGGGGGGCGCGGGGTCGGAGGGCGCCGGGAGCTGCGGTTGGTCCGGCTGTTGTCGGGGTCGCGGCGTCCACCGAGCTCCCGGCTGCAGCGGTGCGGCGTGTTTGTCCTCGTGAGATGAGTGAGCACATTCCCACGCGAGTCCCCCGGGAGGATCCAGGGATTCTGTGGTTGTTTTGTCCCGAAAAGTGCCGCCGCCCCCGCGGGGCTGGGGCTCCCCCGGACCGGCAGATCCGCAGCACCCTCCGGTTCCAGCGGATGGGGACACTCAGACACCTCTGTCTCCCCTTGTCACCCCCACCTGGCAGCTCCTTCTTTCTCTCCGTGTCACCCCAGCTGACCCCGGTGCATCCCCGGAGGAATCCTACCCCCGAACCCACTCGTGTCCGGCTCCGCAGGCCGATTAGGCGGATTTCCCAGCCGGGATCCTAATCCCGCTGCCCCGTGCCCGCTTATCCCGCCTGCGCCCGGGACCCGGCTTAGCCCCGGGGGCGGGCGGGTGGCGGCGAGCGCGGCGCGGCGGTGAGTGCGCGGCTCCCCGGGCCCCGGGGAAAAACGAGGGGCAAGTCCGGGGCTGGTGGTGTCCCAGACTGGCGGAGACCGGGGAGCCGCCCCGGAGCTCGGTTGTCCCGGGGCGTGGGCGGGTGCACCGGGCGGAACGCTGCGGGTTGGGTCGTGCCGCCGCCGCCACCGGGCTCGTCACTGAGCCGCCCTGGCAGAGCTTTGCTGCCGGGCCCCGGAGCTGCTGGCCCCGCTCCAGGGGTGGGTGAATTCCCGGGAACTGGCAGAGATGCGGCTGCTACCCCCGTGGGATACGGGTGTCGGAGCTCGGGCCGCTGCACCGGAGCAATTTCGCTCCTGGGCTGATGAGAGCCCCACCCACATCCCTCTCACGGGGAAACTGAGGCACGGGCAGGTCTCAGCCTCTCCCGGGCTGCCCAGCTCGCCCGGAGCTACTCCTGGGGTGCTGGACTGCTCCCTGTGCCCGGCATGGGCAGCGAACCGTGCTGCTGGCTCCTGGAGAGAGCTCGTGCCCAGCTCTGGTGCTTTTGCTTTAGGAAATAATGTGATTTGAGCCTTTAGCTCCGGAAAGGAGCTTTGCTGCCGGAATGCCGTCCGGCTTCTGCCGGCCCCGGAGCTCAGCCCTGTGCCCGGCACCGTGCCCGGGGTGTGATAAGCCCCGAAGCAGAAGGAAGTGAGATCCCAGCCGCCGCCCCCAGCTCGGGGCTGCCCCCCCTGCTCTCACCCGCAGCCGGAGCCGAGCGGGGCCCGCGACCCCCGCGATGGCGGTGGGCACCCAGCTGGGGCTGCTGCTCTGGAAGAACTTCACCTACCGCCGGCGGCAGCGGGTGAGTGGGCGATTGGGATGGGGCTACCCAGAGCCGCGGGTGCCTGGCATAGGGGCAGGCAGAGCCCCGGGCACTGATGTGGGACCGGAATCCCACCAGCCTTGCGTGTCCCCCAGATCCAGCTGGCTATCGAGATCCTGTGGCCCCTCTTCCTCTTTCTTATCTTGATCTCAGTGCGGCGATCCCACCCTCCCTTCAAGCAGCATGAGTGTGAGTGTCCCCCCCAGGACCCCCTAAGCCAGATAAGACCCCTCTGTGTGCCCCGGTACGGGAGCCCTTCGGGGTGACAGCGGGGGGACCCTGTGGTCACAGGCTGCTCGGGTGTGTGTGGGGTCCCCTGAACCTGCCTCCCTCTCCCTCAGGCCACTTTCCCAACAAGGCGCTGCCCTCTGCGGGGACACTGCCCTGGCTGCAGGGCATCATCTGCAACATGAACAACCCCTGCTTCCGGCACCCCACGGCAGGAGAAGCCCCTGGCGTGGTGGGCAACTTCGATGGCTCCATGTGAGCGCGGGGCAGGGGAGCTGCGGGGCAGAACGGGGCTGGCCCGGGGTCTCATTGCCCACCCATGTCCCGTGTCACAGCGTCTCCCGTCTCCTGACCGAAGCCCGGCGGGTTCTGCTCCGCGGGCACGGGCAGCGGCTCCTGCGCAGCTTCGCCCGGCTCCTGCCCGCCCTGCGCCGGCTCCGGGACAGCGGGAACCAGCGGAGCGGTGAGCACCGGGGGCGGGGGGTGCCGGGGGAGCCAGACCCCTTGTCTGACCCCTGCTCCCCCAGCTCTGCCGGTGAGGGAATACTTGAGAGAGGACGAGACTTTCTCCCGGTTCCTGCGGACCAACACATCTCTGCCCGCGGCGCTGGTGGATGAGCTGATGGGGGCTCGGCTCAGCCCCCGCATCGTGAGTGTCGCCGCGGTGCCCACTCCCGGTGCCCGCTGCCGGTGACCGCATCACGACTGCCCTCTCCTTCCAGTTCTCCTTGGAGAGCGTTCGCCTCCCTCTGAAGGCCCTGGTCTGCAACGCCTCGGTCCTGGGGGGCTTCCTGGTGGGCGGCGACGCCGACTCCACCCAGAGCCTGCAGCAAGGACTCTGCGCGCTGCCCAGCTCCCAGCTCCGTGCCATGGAGGGCTCCTTCCTCTCCCAGATGGACTTCCCACGACTGCTGGCGGTGAGCCTCCAGCGCGGTCGGGTGCTGGAGGGCAGCGAGGCAGAGACCCCTGGCCTCCCTGCCAGGGCTGTGACCCCCTTCTCATGCCCCTTGTAGGAACAGATGAGCTCAGAGTTGAGCGGAATCGCTGGCAGCGTGGAAGCTTTGGGCAGCTTCCTGCGGGATGCAGCATCCCTGATGGAGGAGGTACACCCCTCCCCTGCCCCCTGCCCACCCCCACCGTGCCCCTGTCCCCCACTGCCCCTCTCCACTGTCATCCCACTCTCCCCAGGTCTCCTCCATGACCAGCCTGGCCGAGCTGCGTCAGGAGATTGAGGGGCTGAGGGTGCCCAACACCAGCACGGGAGCCTTCACAGCCCTGTCACGCATCGCCTGTGGGCACCCCGAGGGCGGGGGGCTCAGGATCCCCTCCCTCAACTGGTACGAGGACAACGATGTCAAAGCCTTCCTGGACCGTAACAGCTCGGAGCACAGACCTGTGGCCTCAGGCAGCACCAGTGAGTGGGGGGCTGTGGGAGGCTCAGCCAGGGGCTGTGGGGGGCAGGGGGGGCCGATGGTGGGGGGCTGGTGGTGAGGGCTCAGCTCTGCACCCCCAGGTCCCTTCTGCCGGGAGCTGCTCCGCAGCCTGGAGTCCAGCCCCCTCTCACAGATCTTCTGGCGGGGGATCAAGCCCCTCTTTGTGGGGAAGATCCTGTACACCCCACCCGGGCCTGGCCCCGACAGTGTCATGGCTGAGGTGAGTGGGGGCTGCAGGAGGGCTGGAGGGTTTGGGGGGGTCTCATCCCAAACCTGCCTCACCTCCCTCACACAGGTGAATCGGACCTTCCGGGAGCTGGCGGTGCTGGGGGAGTTGGGGGGTGCCTGGCAGGAGCTGGGACCCCGAATTTACACCCTCCTCAACAGCAGCCTGGAGATGCAGGTGCTCCAGGTGGGTGACCCCAGACTCCTCCGTTGGG